CTGCATTTGAAATCGGTTTCAAAAAGAGGTTTTGCTTGAGGGGGTATTCTGATTTGTTGAAAGCAAGATTTTTCTTATGAAACTTTGCTTAAAACAGGGTGTAAAATTAATCAAAATAAAGGAAATTATATTAAGACTTTTTTTTTAAATAATATTAAATGCAAAACCTATTATTATTTTGTATTTTCAAATGAATTTCTTAAATTGTAAAAGGTTTCTAAAAAGGTCTTAAAAATGATTATACACTTATAAGATATATTTACCAATCAGCCTTCTTATTGAATTATTTCTCAAGTGTCCTCCCCCTTGGGATTATATTTTCTTAAGGGTGACTTTCTATCGGTCAATTTATCCGGAAAATTCGTAGCCTCCCCCAGAATTTCAATTACTCTCCGCTACAATCACTCAATCAAAGTTACAAAAGATGACTCAACCACATGAGTATCTTGGGATAATATCATCCCTTGAAAAATCTGAGGACTTCCCCACTCTTAATATTTATTTTATAAAGCTTACAAATTTGTTCAAAAAATAATGCATAAGATATTTGTTGTTTGTATGGCAAGAAGCGAAAGGAAGGAAAAACATAAAACCAAAACACAAAGGAACTAACAAGCGGTTCCACATTCCCCTCGACTTTTCCCCCCCTTTTTGCACTTGCCCGATCCGTCGGCAAACTCTTTTAAGTGATTTCAACCCGGAAATGCCCATAAATCGATTGGATCGAAGGATGAGAGGGTGTTGTGTGCGAGAGGGTTTCCCTACATGGAAAATAAAGTGTTGAGTTTAAAATTTAAAAAAATGTAAATGTAAAAATGTAAAAAAAATGTAACAAGCAATGATATTGACTTTGTAAGGTTAACTTGAAATAAATCTTTAACTAAAATATATATTCCAGTTTTAGGGTATTAAAAAATTTATAAAAAATATGCGAATAATCATTGTTTTGTTTAAAATTTCTCAAATATTTATATCCAATTCTAAACCTTATTTTTCTCAGTGCAGGGCTTTCCTTAGCTGCGGATGCATCCGACTTTATGGGCTAAATGAATGAATTGAAATGGGTGTGTGTGTAGACGAGTGAGTGTGTGGATTGTATCGACTTGTGGCACACTTGTCTGGATTTTCCACCCAATTCCCTCCCCTCTCTCCTGTGTGTGTGTGTGTGTGTGTGCTGTACAATGCAAATAAAAGTTCATTACAAGCTCAGGCCAAGGCGCTTACAAAAAAAAAGTAGAGCCTTTTGTTATATATTCTCCGGTCTGTCCCACTTTGTGTTCGGCACTCTCTGCCCCTTTTATGGTCAACGGCCCCTTTGTGGCGCTTAGGATTTTGTGGGTGGCAGAGACTTTTCTCCTGGCCGGAAATGCCACATCCGTGTACGAGTCCATAAAGTCAATAAGGAGGAAGAGAAAAAAAAAAGGCTGAAGAAAAAGCGGTTAAAGCAAAGGAAATTTTTGTGAAAAGCCAAAGGGGAAATAAATTAACAATAAGCAATGATTTTCGCAACTTCTGTTTCCTCACATTTATGATATGAATGTCCGGTTGGGAGTCCAACCTCTTCTCCGATCGTAAAATCTTTTTAATTTATATGGCTTCTACGATGATACGGCATGAATTTACGACTTCTTGGTGTTAGATGCGTTATTAAACCCAAGTCCACGCAGTATTAGCAGCCATAAAAACCACGAGAACAGCCAGCACACACACACATCTCGTCTCAGATTAATTGAAAATGTCACCGATCCGAGGCAATTATCGTAAATTATACACACGCTCCTGAATCCAAATATTATTATTATTTTTATTACGTGCGTAGGCAAAACAGAAATCAAGAAACTCCAGTGCCAACCCCAAAAACTCAGATCAGGGTGAGTTTTGTGCATAATGAAATGTCAACAAATGTGGCAGGGAGTTTGAACTGAAGTTCTGGTACAGAGTTTTGGATGAAGGCTAGGACCCTGGGCTTTGTTTTTACCAGTGGTTGCTCGACTTTCCCTTCGAGTCTTTGAAGTTGACTTGCGGAAATTGAAAACTTAATTGGCAGAGCTGTCATGTATATGGGGTGTGTTGTGATTCAAATAAAAAGTAACAAGACAAGGGTGATAAAGATTTTAAAGGGGGTTCACAGCTGTTATAAGGAGTTGTAAAATTCTTTAAAATCTTAAGGCGTTTTTAAATCCATATAGAAATATTTAATATGAAATTTAAAGCATAGTTTCCCTTCCTTTGTTATCTAAATTCACTAAAATTATCTTCTACTGTTGGAAAATATATCTCCCCCAAAAATCCCAAAGCTGACTCATGAGCAGACATAACAAATAAATCCCCCTAGAAAAATCAGAGCCAGCCAAATCCCGTAAATCGCAAAATTTTCTATGCATTTTCCCCATTTGCAGACTCAGAGCAGCCCCACAACCGCTCCGTTCGGAATATATATACATATAAATATATAAAAAGCAAGCATAAAAAATGCAACAGACCATAATAATTTCAGCGTTTATTTTTTCGAACATTTTCTGCTTTTGTCGCAATCTTCCACATCCTGCCACCGCTTACTGCACCACCACCAGCACCACCATCAACTCCCTTTTGCTCTGCTCCACCGACTGCCTGGCAGGGTCTCTTCTGACTATGCAAAAATGCAGCAGCCAAAAAGCATATAAAATTATTATGTGACGAGGAACGTGGGGCATGAAAATCCGGGGGACACAAAGCTCAAAGGCATTTCGGACTTGGCCAAAAATCAGACTCAGCATGTGCACATAAAGCTCAAATAAACTCAAGTTGTTGACAAAGGGGTTAGAGGCCATAATTGTGGCCGTCTGCAGAGAAGTGTGGGCTAATATTAACCCTTCTCCGAGGGGCGTCTCACGAACGTGCCAGACTGAAAGTGGAATTTTCATTGAATGTGTAAACACAACCAGCGGGAGGAAAATGAGCCAGATGAGCAAGTCGACAGAGCGCTTTTCCAACGGTGCCAGGCACTTAAATGATTTTCATTGGTGGGTAGCAACGTTCTCTTCGGTTTTATGGCCGTGTTTTAATGGACCTTTGTTTAAATTATTTCATTATCAAGAGACACGAGATATTCAAGAATTTTGAGCAGATGAAATTCAGTTTTAAAGAACCTTATTTAGGTATTTATTTATATATTTTAAAAAGAGGTTTATAGTAACGAGATTTATGTGTCTTTAAAGTATTCTCCTTTCATTACTTTAAGAGTCATTTTGCAGCCTTAAAAAATTTATTTTAAATTTATTTTAAATTCTTAAAAATCAATTATGACATAATTAACTTATTTCTAAATAATTTACCTTCTTGTTGTAAACCAAAAACTCTTACATTCACTTTTCCCACAGACCCTACATTTTTCCTTTATTCATTCATATTTTTCCATTATCGCTTCGCTTCGTTCTTTGTGTCCTTAGCAAGGCCAATAAAATGTATTATCAAAGTTTTTGCCAGAAGTTCTTTGTAAAAGCCACTCCATAAAATCAAATTTATGTATTACCTGCATTGCTCCCATCTCTTTTTCCCAGGACCTCCGCTTCCGTTTCACTCATTTCCTGTATCGTTTTTACTCCCACAACGCGGCAAAAAGGACAAAATCTCTGGTCGCACTTTAAATAAGCATTAAATTGATACAGCAGAAAGTTTTCCCTTTCTCTGCTCTTCGTTTTTAGCTCTGCCAGGGACACACTCCAGACACATTCTAATCGCTTTATAACTTCTAACGCAGTTTATCAGTGCTCTGCACCCCTCATCCCTTAATTCTGCCCACCCACCTTTCTGTCTTCTGGTGGCATTAGAAAGGCTCAGAGAGAGGCAAAAGTTATTGTCACGCACTAAAGTCACTTTCATGTGGAGTTGTGTGACTGCAGAGAGAGAAATAATAGAGGGTTTTTTAAGGGAATTGGTCAAAAAAATATGAAAACAGATTTAAAACACTTGAGAATGATTTCATAGCTATATTTTACTATATTTTGACGACTTAAAATATTATAAGTAATTATATTTTTCTTTGTAGGTTTAAAAAATAAGTTTGTTTTTATTTTTAGTACCATTTTGAGTGTTATTAGACTTTAATTGATATAATATGCTAACTACAGAGAGACCAGACAAAATGCTGGGAAGCTTGATATATTTTTAATCAAACAAAATACTGAAAAATTTAAACTAACGTACGTTTCGATAATAAAAATCAAGTACATCATATGACGAAATCAATTTTAGAAATACAAGCAATAAATATGCCATAACAAATGAGACTGACAAGTATAATCTATAAGATATGGTACATCAAAAATTTAAGTATATTTAAAATTTGATAACCTTGGTGATTTTTCCGTCTGCATAAATATATATGTATATATTTATTGATATGTGGAAAACCGGGAGTTACCAATGAACCCACAAGCCAATCTCCATGCAAAAGCTCTCTCTGTTTGTACCCTTCTCAATGGCAGTTTCCTTGGGGTTTTTCTGGGGCTGTCTCCAGTGTGTTCCTTGGGTTTTCCCTCCGCTTTTCTTTTTCGCGCTTTATTTGCTTCTGTCTTTTCTTTTTTTTTTGGTTACTCTGTCTGGCAAACAAGCCGGAAATTATTGCCGGCGGCGTCTTTGCAGTTTTTTTTTCTCTCTTTTCTCAGACATCTTCTGCATCTTCAATACATTTTTTTTTGCAATGTCAAATTGTTATTGTGTCTGAAAGAAATGCTTTTATTTTGCTTATTTGCGCTTTTATTCTGATTGCACTTATTATGAGTGAATCGAAAGAGAAAAGTACACTGTGTGAGTAATTTTCTAGTGCTTAGATTACACACAAATAGCACAATCTTTATAGCCCTATTGGGGCATTAGCCATCGAATCGGAGTGAATCCCAGTGAGTCACCAGAAAACACACCCCTTGCGATAAGATAAAATCGTGCAAAAACAATCTTATCTGAAGTGTGGAACTACACTGGCTGTGGATGTGTATATAAATTGGTAATTTTAATGGATTGAAAAGCAGTACGCATTGGACTAGCAGCGAGAGCAGTTCTCTAAAGGAATACAACAGTTTGAAAAAGGATTTTAAAGGATTTTTAACATGTCGCCGCCACACCACGAACGAGGTCTCTTCGGCATCCATTTGGGTTTGAGCCTGGGTGGTCATGGACACCACCATCACCATCACCACCCGCCGCCGCCGCCGCCCCACTACGATCATCACCACCATCACCATGGACCTCCGCCGCACCACCACCACCACTACGGGCCACCTCCTCCTCCGCCACATCACTATGTGGAGCATCATCATCACCACAACAGCAGCCACTTTGATCATCATCATGGACCGCCGCATCATCATCATCATCACCACTGCTGATGATGATTTTGAAAAGGAAAATGTAAAGGAATGTGAAGTGTGGCAATATTTATAAACGAATTTAATTTATTATTTCAAAGCAGAAATGCTAAAAAAAAGACAACAAAAATATAAAAATAAAAAAAAATATATATTATATAAACCTACAAATTGAATTTTCAATATTTATATCTTTTGGCAGTGAGAAAATCCTAGAAATTTCTACAAGAGAAAATTGAAAAACAATTTTTTTAATATTTCCTGCCTGTATGTATTATGAGAGGGAAAAAACCCTGATTAATGACATGTTTTTTCACCAGATTTTTATCTATATTTTATAAAAAGCAATATGGCTTATAAAATGTCAATAATATTAATATCAAATGCCTGTTTAAGATATAGAAAAAGATATTGAAAGTTAAAAATCGATACAAGTAGAAAATGTATATTATATAACCCATTCAATAGTTATCTCTCTATCTATCTACATATTGACATTTAGTTAGAATGTATGACTCTCCTCGATCATTTTTAAAATAGCAACTTATCTTATCTTGATTGATATGAAACAAAAACAGCGTAAAAAACATACAAAAAACAAAGAACTCAGACAATCGACAAGCTTGTCATGCAATATCCCACATTCTTAAATCAAAAGTTGATTGGTCTGAAGACCATTTCTAACGTATTTATAATTAAGAAATTTTAAACCAATAAGAAGATTATTTTGAAAACCACAAACAGACACGGAAGCCGAGAGCCCAGAGACCACCCACAGAAACAATTTGCTAAGCCGATAAACACAAATGAAATTAAATATCATTTCAGTTTCTAATTCGATTCGTTTCACTACGCTCCGGGCGGGTCAAACAAAATGTTTGCCAATTACAAAACCATTTCAAAGTGTTTTTATTTTTCTGCGGTTGTCACAAAAACGCTAATTAGACAGCAGAGCTACCAAACTCAATGCCCCCATATACACTCGTATTTCTCTGTGGGTTACCTCATGGCCCTGTCATAAAATGTAAAATGCTGCCCCCGGCGTGGGTCGTATGGGTATCGACACCTGGAAAATATTGGTAATTAAAATTTGCCAGTTGTCGGCCAGAAAAATAAATACTAACAACAAAAAAAACTTGCTTCCATTTTCGGCCTGTCTAATAATGTTGTAAAACATGTTGCCATTAAGTTAAGCGACAGACGCCAAAAACGCCCCAAAGGCAGGAGGTAAAAAGCTGAAAATTATGTATAGGTGGGCTTTACCCTTTAACTCTTTGGCCATAAATCTTGGCAAACTGAAAATAAATGAATTAAGTTGGTACATAAAAATAGGTTTTAATTTATAAGTAGCTTAAAATGAGTGTTTAGGATTTATAATAGTTATTATGTGGTTATTAATTGGCATATTTATATTCTTTTTTTTTAATTTTAACGTTTTTAAAGAGTATAAATAATATAACTTGACTTTTATAGTCTCACTAATTAACAGCATTCCAATTTTTTATTTGCTTTATGCTAATGCCTAATAAAGCTGCAATTTTTAATTCATTTTAATTATTTTTCTTGATCAAAAGAAGGCAAGATTAGGCTTTTCAATACCCTAAAACCTTTGCCAAATATTTCTTCGCTCTCATCTCCTACCCCATATACCCCTTTGCCATTTCCAGGGTATCTCTACTATCGATATTCCGCTGACAAGTCGCTCTAATGGAATTGGTAGCAGTCTAGAGTGACACTCGAGCACTCTCTTCAGGTTTTTCCAAGCCTCGCACAGCTGTCAATTAAATATGAAAATTATTTTGGGCCTGCTGCCTATCAGCGATATTTTTTGACAATTTCATGGGACAGTTCGACAGGCCTGGGAGTGCAGTGCCCCGCCCCTCCTTCAATCTGTGGCAGAGTAGATGACAATTAACGTCTCAATTCATAAATGTCGTAGAGGGAGAAACCATTTCTCAAACCGAGTTGCCTGCTTTTAATTAAAAAACTTCAAATTATGCTCGTGGCCAGGCCTGATCCATGTTTTCAGCCACAAATGGAGGCTGCTTCAACGCTGCGTATATCTTAATTGTTATTTGTATTTAATTATATGGCAAGTCAGGCCCAAGTTTGCCACGAAAGTTGAAAATGCTGGAAAAAACAACAGTGTGGAAAAAAGTCTGAGTCAAAGTTGCTTCGTAATTAAATTGTTTGCTTTTCATAGTTGGCCAAGTGTTGACTTTTTGAACCTTCCAGAAAAAGGTGAAAATTATAAAAGAAGATAAAAGGCAGAGATGCTGGAGCATCCATAAGATACTATCAGAGATTTTGAAAGGTTTGTGGTGGCGCCAAGAGAGTAAAAAGTCCTATACTTATTTCCTTAAGCCATAGGTCCCCATTTCTTATCCTTATAATCTTAAAATTATACCCAATTCAAGTTCATTGGCAGCACACTTTATGTACATGTTAATTAGGCTAAATCGACAAACATTTCCCTTGGCAATCGAAAAACTAATACCCCAACTTCCTTCTCTTTTCAGGTATGTACTTAACCCAACTGAACAACAGCATAAACCAGAGTTATGAGTAGAGTAAGTAATGAAATGTTCATACACAGATCGTCAATTCGACATGATGGCCCATTAATGAGTTTACCCAACTAAAGTACAGTTAATAACACAGAGACTGATAGGGCGAGACGGCCATAGACCGCAATCAAATCGGGGAGAAGAAATCCATTACCTCACTCACGACCCCATCATGTAATCACATAACAATCAAAGCCAATTTCTGGAATTCAGTCCGCAGGAATTGTGTACTTGGAATAATTTAATAAACCCATGAAAAATCAAAAATACGATACACACATCCTCATCCTCCCACAAGGAGGCAATAAAAATTCCACGAAAAATTCTCATTAAATAAACATACTCTTGGTAGACAAAAGGCCAGGCCAAATCGAGTACGCATTCCGAAAAACTAGTCCCAAACTAAGGCCGCGTAATGTCGCTTGTTAGTACTAATGATGGGCTGGACCCGGCGGCCCCCAGACCTCTGTATAATCCTCTTCACCCCGGAAAAAACGCAAAAATAAATATGTACATCTGCGATAGAAGCCGCGATATGGAAGCCCATGGCCAAGAGAACACTCGGTAGGCCATGGCCAGAACGTCGTTGTTGCCCATTTTGCCTGCTTGTCATAAATTGCCATAGAGCGCCAACAACAAGTTTCCTTTGACTTGGAGCGTTCTATAAGGAATTTTCTTAGAGATGGAAGCGTGAAGTTTAAGTGGGAAAACTTAGAAAATTATTTAAATAAAATAAGATTAAAATTTGGTGATTAAAAAATATATAGAAAATAATCTAAAGAATCTAAAGTGCATCCTACAACGCTTTTTTAAATAATTTTAACTTTGTTTTATTATTAATTTATTATTTTAACAATAAATATATTAAAAGTAAACTTTACAAGAGTCATATTAAAGACCTACCGCATTTAACACCCCCATAAAACCACAATACTCCCATGGAATAAAGTCCTCAATTTCCGGATCGTGACTTATAGCCTTATAGCCCCCATCCCTAGTGGCCAGTGAAGACCCCCAAGTCAGACCAAAAAAAGCCTCAGACCGACGACCGCAGTCCATTGGATACCGACCGTCGCGTCCAGGCTGTAAAAATTAATAGCCAACATAATAAGCGGCATTTTATGACAAGCGTGCACCTCAGCACACACAGCCACAACACACGCACACACGGGGTGCCACGCCCCTGGGCCAGGCGCCCCTACATATATACTTTTTTTTGGAGTCGAGGCTTTTGGCCAAACATATTTCTCATAGGCAAAAGTCATTAGGTGAGGGATCAGTTGGCCACGCTTCTTCATCGCAGTCACTTTGAAAATTACGCAAATTGAAAGTTACATCGTTACAGAGTTGGGGAAAGGGGGAAAAACTTGTGGAAATCAGGGAGGGAAAACTGCCCCTGTCTGACAAGTTATGAGCCTCATATTGGCGCTACAAGATTTCGCTTTATGATAATTACACGCAGCGTTTCAGATTTGATTTTGCCTAGGAAAATTGAAAAAGTTTTTCGCCAGATTATGCAAGAGTTTTTATTATTTTTATTTATGTATAAAAACCAGCTAATGGATTTTGTGACTCTTAATTGGAGGAAAGGAATTTAGCAGATGATTGACTGCCTTTTTTTTTGGGTTGTTAAGAGAAACCCCAATAATAGTGTGTAAGAAACATTAAAAGCCACTCGAATTTCAGCTTCTCTAATTATTCCCTCTCATAAACAGAACCTGACTTGAAACCCAAATAAAAACAGTTAGTCTCAAGACCCTAAAAGACCCACTCAGTTGGTTTTCAAATCATAAAAGCCTGACTTGCTGACCAAACGAAGGCAAACGAAATAAACACAGAGAAACACATAAAAACTAAACACAAAGTTGCCAAGTTGAGTTGAAATTTAAATCGTATTTTTTTAAGGCTTATCTCTTGATTGTTTTTATATGGTTTGAGTCACAATAAAATTGATTGAGTGATAACTTCAAAAGGAGAAGAACAAATTTATGATGCTAATTAGTTTTGAATGAAGATCGAAACGCAAAAGGGAGAGCTTTTAAGTTTTATCTATTCAAGCCATTTGGTTAATAAATCTTTCATCGATTCCAAAGCCGAAGACGAATGAGATTTGTCCATGTCAGTTTAAGGCCCAACGAACTCTTGGCATATAAAATGTAAATTAGCTACAAAATGGTTTATCTCTTGGCCCACGAAATCTTATTTCATCACTTGTTTATTTTCTGTTTTTTCTCCTTCCAACATTGTACATTTTCTTATCTCCCTCGAAATGCATTTTCCTCTTATTTGCTTTATGTATATTTTTTCCATAATTTTTTTTGCTGGGTCTGTGGCTTGCATTTTTATGACTTGTCAAAATACAATAAAATTTATGGCAAGTTGGCAATATTTTTTACGCCAAGCGCAGAGAAAACTGCAAGAACAAAAAGTGCAAAGAAATCCCCCACATAAATCATGCAAGTGGAGTCTGGACCCCGAAAAAAAACAAAAGAAAATCTGCAAGGAAAAATAGGGGAAAATGAATTAAAGCGCAAATGGTCATAAAAATTAAATTAGCCCAAGTGGGAGGTATGCATTTTCTGAAAAATAGGAAAATAA